TCCCACTTTCACAGTGTTTTTTCCTGACAGGACAACTGGCAGCATCAAGTGCTTGATGCCAGCATTTAATGAACACTACTGCAAGGGCACTGTGCACTAAGTGCCTGGCATCTATTCTAAGTATTCCTTGGTAGCTAACAAGGTTGGTTCTCCAACTTTACTGAGGGCATCAGAGCGCAAACTTTACTAAATGGCAGCACTGGGTTTCCCTCAGCTAAAAGGTGCTGCACTATTTTTCTTAAGTTTGTGTGTGTGTGTGTGTGTGTGTGTAAGAGAAAGAGAGAGAAAATGCTGTACTACCAGGATTTGTTTCTCTTCCTCCTCCATAGGATGGAAGTCTGGTCATCAAACTTGCACAGTAAATTTTACCTAGTGAGTCATCTCATCAACACATTGCTTCTGATCATATGCTTCAAATATTTCCCTAAAGCCTCTATTTCATTCCCACATTTGGGATCACACCTGTAATCTTAGCACTTAGGAGGCTGAGACAAAGGAATTGCTTGGAGGTCAAGGCTATAGAGGCCTTGTCTTTAAAAAAAAAAAAAAAAGTTTAAATTTTATTTTATTTTACTAAAAATTTATTTTTATTTGTATGGGTGTCTTTCCTGAATGTCTGTGCATGCCTGGTATCCCTGGAAGTCAGAAGAGATTGGATCCCTTGGAAATAAGAGCTACAGATACTCTAGATGGTGACAGGAATTGAACCTGGGTCCTCTGGAAGAGCAGACAGTACTTTTAATCAATGAGCTCTCTCTTCAGTCCCACATGTTTCAATTTCAAACAATAAAACTCACTTTGAACTTGCTAGTTTTTAGCTCAGGAAATACTTAAATTTGTAAAACAAAACAAAAATCCAAACTGAGTTAACGCAACTCTATATTTGGCAATATTTAACTTTGCAGTGCCAGATTGTTAATCACTACTCACAGTTCCCCAATTCCACTGTTCTTTTCTTTTCTTTTTAAGTTCCATTTTATGCTGTTATCCCTTCTACCTGCAAGTTCCAAGCATCCTGTTCTGAAAGCAACACTTCCTTCTTTACAGGAGTATGGGTGGGCATGCCGACAAACATACACAAATATAAATGAACATAAATTTAAAAAAATTAAGGACCTCTTTAAACTGGACCAGCAGCTATCACTTTTGAATTAGGTATTCTTCAAACACCTGAGCACTTTCATAATAAGTGTAGTTTACCAAAGTTTTCCAGTTTACTCAAATGTATGTAACATGAAATCCAAGCACCTTAAAATCAAGACAATCTTAAGGGCAATCTAATCCACTGCTAAGGTGTAACCTTATTTATTGTTTTATTTTTTAATATTCTCTCTCTCTCCCTCCCTCCCTTCCTGGCAACAAAATCATTTAAGACATTTGTGCTATTATTAATAATTACATGTGATTAACACTTTATACATCTCAGGCATTTGCTATGTACTAATTAATCATGTAAAATAGGACAAACTCAGGTTCAGAGAAATTATCTAGCTCATTAAGAAGTGATAGAGTTGGGCATTAGAACAGACCTCATCCAAACCTCTGCTGCCAGTGTCAGCAGCTAGTTTAGCAGCTAGTATCCACTAAACTGAGCTTCTGACCCCTCTTTCAAATGAAAGCAAGACAGTAAACAGTACATAGTTTTAATTATAGCCACTCAATGTCATTACAATGAAGCATAGAAAGATAGAAAACAAGACACTAATGTTAACTAGTTTTAAAGTTAATATCCAGTTGACAATAAATAGCAAATTAGTATTTACTTTTCATGTAATCCTCAACACAATGTAGTCTCTATACCAAGAGCTTTTCAGCAGAATGAAGAGAACCTAGAATTTACTTTTTCCTTTAAATTACAATCTTATTTTACATACCAATCTCAGTTCCCTCACCCTCCTAGAATTTACTCTTATTGATCACAGATTTTCAAGCATTCAAAACATTTTTATTCACTATTTATAGGCTGCAGTTACTTAGTCAAGTTACCCTATAATACAAAAAGTACCAATCAGTATTGAGTTTGGCACACGGTTGTAGCTCAGCAATAGAATATGTACTAACATAAAAGAAATTTTGACAAACTGGCCAATTTTACAATATGTTACAGGTTATAAAACCCAAATACTTGGGGACTGGAAAGATGGCTCATTAGTGAAGAGTACATGTTGCTTTTGTAAAGGACCTGGGTTCAGCACTCAGCTCACAATTACTTGTAATTCCAGTTCCAGGGGATCTGATGCCCTCTTCTAGCCTCTGCAAGCACCAGGCACATACATGGTGCACAGATATACATGTGGGCAAAATACCTATACACATAAAATATAAATAAATCTTAAAAACAAACCAACAACTATTCCAGAACAAAGACACCATAGAAGTAACAACAAACAAAAAACAAAACAAAACAACAACAAAAAAACCCCCACATATATGCAAAGTAGAGGTCAAATTTCAGATATTGTAAGTTAATAATAGATACTTTAAAAGCAAAATCAATGCAAAAATTTAAAACACAAGTAATTTATATTGCAAAGAAAAACAGACTTCTTTTCCTTCCTTTTTTTTTTTTTTTTTTAGTGACTTTTTTATTTATTGTGTATACAATGTACTGCCTGTGTGTATGCCTGCAGGCCAGAAGAGGGCACCAGATCTCATTATAGATGATTGTGAGCCACCATGTGGTTGCTGGGAATTGAACTCAGGACCTCTGCAAGAGCAGCCAGTGCTCTTAACGTCTGAACCATCTCTCCAAACTCGTTTTTGTCTTTTCAAGATAGGGTTTCTCTATGCAATAGTCCTTAACTGTCCAGGGACTAGCTCTGTAGACCAGGCTGGCCACAGAGATCCTTCTGCCTCTGCTGGGATTAAAGGCATGCCACCACCACCCAGCTTCAAAACACACTGTTTTTATAAAAAGAAACAAAAACATTTAAAGATAAACATGACCAGTTAGTAATATTTTGTGTTCTTAAAGCATTAGCCTTTTTTCCCCTCACGATTTATTAAAATAGATAAAACATCTATCTGAAAAGAACTGCCTCATTTTTGACACTAAAAGAAGCCATTTCTATTCTGATGTAGGGGCAATGCTGTGGTAAGCGTTTAAAAGGGATTTTTATATAAAAGCAGGAATACCAAATAACTCTTTGAGGGAAAAAATGGATATTTAACTTGTGCTTTCAACATTGTAAAAACTGTTCAAGAACTAAAACTAACTTCAAAGTTTCAAAGTGAAAAAAATTATCTTTAAGAAAGGCTTTATCGGCCAGCTTGATGGCACATGCCTATAATCCCAGCACTCAGGAGGGTAAGGCTTCATTAATTACTTTAGTCTATTAAATGATAAAAAGGTCTGAAGTAGTTGTTCAGTTAAATATAGGTTATAATTATTTCATATGATATCCAGTTATGGAAGAAATTATATATTACCAGGGTTTTTTTTTTTTAAGTATAAAAAAGCGAGTCTTAGGATGGATTTTTTGAGAGTATAAAAGCCTAAAAATGATAATGAATGAAGCTGAATACAGTGGCACATGCCTGCTGTTCCAACTGGTAAGGAGGCTAAGACAGGATAGTTTGTGCCCAGGAATTCAAGGCCAGCTTGGGCAACACAGTGAAACAATGTCTCAACAAATAAATATTTACTAAAACTACTCCATGAGACTACAGGAAGACAACAATAAAGGCAGCCAGTCTGGTTATTAGTTTCTATCACTCTTCCCAAGCACACAAGCCATTCCTGAATCTTCACTTTTTTCTAATATTATTTTAAATTTTATGACCCTCTCTAAGGATACTTAGGTGTTGATGACACTTTCTTGGTATGTATGTAGGTAGCCACGGTGGGTGATGTCTTTCTTTAACTGGAATAGATAATCAAGAGAGCTATGAGAAGTGGGGACAGAACTTATTAAGGCCTACAAGGTGGGGTAGGCCTGTAGGCTGAGGCAGAAGGATGTAAACTTTAAGGCCAAACTGGGGGCATCCTAAACTCTTTAAGATAAGTAAATAACACGAGCATCACCTTGTCCACACCAGAAAACACTCAGGATGGTCATACAGGATTAGCCAACTGTGTGTGTGTGTGTGTGTGTGTGTGTGTTGGGGGGGGGGGGAGAGTCTCAAGAAGGTGACAATGTGAAACCTAAATTCCCCAACAGTTGTCATCTCTGAACTTGTTTTACCTTATGCAAACTCCTTTCTAATGCTGTTTAAATCACCTCCACACCAGATCCTCCTTATTGGCTGCTTTAACATAAACAGAGGTCTATCCAAAAAAAAAAAAAAAAAAAAAAAAAGCCACCTCAAAATATCTATTTAAAAACAAACAGGGGGGAAATGGTCTTTTCGAAGCGTCGCAGGAAAATTATTTATTTTCAGTTATGAAATGTTTACTCTATTTACATGTAGAAATATTTGCATTTACTTCAAGCACCTGAAAGAGCCAGTAAAATACTTGCTATAAAACACACTCCCTCTTAAACTCTTCTTCCAACATTCACGTATAATCAATAATACCTGGGTTCCTCTCGGAACACTGGAGTAGCCCCGAATTGAACCGGGCGTAGACAGAGAAAGAGGGTGAGTAAGAATGCAGAGTCGCCGGTAAGCATAAAAACAGAACAGTCCGAGTTTTGTTCCTCTAAGGAGCTAAAGACTCCCCTCCCCCCTTTCTCTAGCCCATGATAAATGTATGTATCTTTCTATCGCAGCTGTAAACTCCTCCATCCACTTCCGACCATATCCACGAATTCCAGGAGAACCAGTCAGGGCTACTTCAGTATCCTGGTCGCGAGAGGAAGAGAATGCACTTTGAGGCTGGAAGCTGGGCACCACAGTTCTCCCCGGTCGGGGTAAGGGATGGAGTGGAGGCAGCAGAGGACCGACAGCATCACCAAGACAGCTGTCTGGGCAGACCAGAAAAGTGGCAGGCTCGTCCCTAAAAGCGTAGCCGCTTCCCGTCCCCTGAACCTCTGTCTCCCCGGAGTCCTCACACTCACCCGTCCGAGCTCCAGCTTCAGCAGCCACTCAGGGAAAGCCGCCCACCTCTCTCTCGACCATAGAGACGCAGAAGCCGCGGAACCCAGCTTCCCTGTCCACCGCCCACTCTCACGTGACTCCCTTCGCCGCTGGGCCTGTCGGGATCTCGGCGAAACGCAGCAGGGAGGGAACCTAGAGGAAAAAAGAATGGGGAGGGGCGGGGAGGCAACCCCGCCCTTCCTTGGACACGCCCACACTCAGGGTCCCGCCCCATTCGAGGCTCCGCCTCCGCCGGAGCCCGCCTCTCCTCCGGCCACGCCCACAAATAGGCCCCACCCACTTGCTGTTTAGGCGGGGAAAGCTGATTTTGTTTCTCCTCTGTCAAAATGCACCTCTTCTGTACCTCTTTCTATTTAAACTCCGCTATCGGGTAAGTGAGAAAGTGATAATGAGATTTCTTCCCACCAGCCATGAGGCTCACACTTTTTTAAAACAACTTTTATTTATTCTTTGACAATTTCATACATGTATACCATGTATCTTAATCCTATTCACCTCCAAGTCTCTGCTCTTATTCCTTCAAGACGCTCCCCAACATGTCGCCCAGCACTTGGAACTTAAGAGGCCAGGATGGGTTGCTTAAAGAGACCCTGTTTCAACTTATGAAAAAGAGTTATTAGAAGGTAAGGGCTGCCAAGCCTGGTAAGTCCCAGACACTCTGAGTGGAAGGAGACAATTGACCTTCAGATTATGCGGTGGCACACACACACATACATACAGTATAAAGATCTGAAAGAAAAGAGGGAGGGAGAAAAGTCTCCCTTATATACTAATTGGTGTTTAGTATTATGTTGCCCTTCATATCTGTTAGCTCTGAAAATTATAAATTTCAAGTTGCATCCTAAATGCCATAGAACACTTTGGAAGCTCATGGGACCATGGTTGTAGCTAAATTAACTTTATTTGAACAAGGAAGAGAGAAAATTATCAATATGTAAGTGTTGATTAAAAAATTATAGCCAGATGTGGTACAACTGTAATTTCAGCATCGGAGAGATAGAGGCAGTAGGTTTAGGAGCTCAAAGTCATACTTAGTTATATATAGTAAGTTTAAGACCAACCAGGCTATATAAGATCCTGTCTCAAAAACCAAACCAAACAAAAATCCATCAAGATCAAGAAAAGCAATGATTAAGTTGGGCATGATGGCATGTGACTATAACCCCTGGAGAGATGGAAGCAGAAAATTCAGGAAATTAAGTTTATCCTCAGCTACATACATAGCAAGTTATTCTCTAACCTCCATCCACATGCACACCATAGAGTATATGCCACCCCCAAAAAATGCATACTCACATGCATAATAATAGGTAAATAGATGTTTCCATCCAGGCAGGGTCTTCCAGCCTCCCCAGTAAGCCAGTAGTTCCCAAACTACTTTGATGATCAAATGCCTCACTCTTATCTGGGGACATTTTGTTTTAGTTAGTTTGTTTTGTTAGTTTGCTTTTTGTTTTGTTTTGTTTTTTTGTTTTTTGTTTTTTGTTTTTTTTTTTGTTTTGTTTTTTTTGAGACCTCTTTCCATATGGACCAGGGTGCCCATGTGGTTCTCAAACTCATGGTAATTCTCCTGCATCAGCCTCGAAAGTACAGGGATATAGGCATACACCCACTATGGCTGGCTCAGGTTAAAATAACAAGTTTAGTGGTTAAAAGCATTGGCTGCTCTTGTAGAGGACTGGAGTTCAATACCCAACATCTACATGGCAGCTCACAAATGTCTGTAACTCTGGTTCCAGGGGATATGGTGCCATCACATAGACATACAAACAGACAAAACACCAATATACATAAAAGCAAATCTTGAAGATAAAAATAAAAAACACAGATTCTTGGATCATAAAATATACCCACTGGATTAGAACAATGCTCAGAAATTTCAATTTTTGAAGTTCCACATGATTGCCAGGAATATGTCATATGGAAAAGAAATGGATTTTTTTTCTTCCATACCATAGCATAAAATATCTCTATTTTGCCTTCAGTACATCAGAGGTACATTATGTTGAAAGTTCTGTATTACCAAGAGAGAGAATATTTTATTTCACTGGCTAACATATAAATTGACATACTAGTTATCTATTTTTATCACATACATGAAAGTAACAATTCCAGGTGTTATCACAGCAGGATCTACTTATTACACCACTGTGAAAAGTAAAATGTCTCCTGGAACAGGCATCTGAATGAATAAAGTGCAATTGCACAAAGCATTCATTCAATTTCTTTCAAATGCATTCAAAAGAGATGCCCCATCTTTCATTATCTTTATCTTCAGGGTTTTATAAATTATAGGCTTTTTAAAATCTATGCAGACTTCCAAGCTTTTCTTTCTCTTTTGTAGTACTGAAGATTAAACATCAAACCTTGTGTACTCACTTCTAGCATTGAGCTTCATCCCACCCAAGTTCTTTTTTATCATCTAGAAATCTAAGTTCCTAGTTGCTGCTGGAGTGTGTGTGTGTGTGTGTGTGTGTGTGTGTGTGTGTTCTCTACTAATAATTATGGAAATGATTATATTCAAATAAATAAGAAAAAATTAAAATCTTAAATTTTCCTTCTTTTAATCACAAAGGAAGCAAGGAAGACCAGATAAATCAAATACAGATAAAAATGTAAATATATTCCTCTTCATGTTGTGATAACTGCAGATAACTGCAAAATTTTTATTTTAAAAAAATGCTTCTCCTATTTTGATTTCTAAATACATTTTCCCACAAGAAGGAAGCAGGACTTCATGGAGAAGTGGCTGGATTCAGGCTGAGAGAAGAAAGGCACAAGATGATCTGGGACATCTTGTGCTGGAAAGTAATAATGTACCCAGGAAATAAAAAGTTGCATGCCAAAAGCTTGAAGGGTTTCAAAATGGTCCACTGTGGGATTATTTGGGTATTAAAAGAAGTACAATGGCTCATAACCCATTGAATAAAACAAGAGCCCACCAGTCTTTAGTAATGAAAGAGCAGGAGGTACACAAACAGATGAAAGAGCAGCTGCCCCCTGAACATACTGTTCCCACTGATCAATCCAAAGAGGAAAGATTGGGGCAAAACCCACCAGTTGCAATCATCATAGTAAAGATTAAGCAAACATCATTGATGGATACTAGAGGTAATAGGCAAAAAGTTCATGAGAAACTAGATTTTCTGTGAAAGGAATACAAAAAGGTGGAAGTAACTAGATTTACATATTAAAAAAAAGACTAAGGAGATCTGACTAGGGGAATTAGGACATGATCCTAAGTTGAAACTTGTACCAAAAGGGAAAAATCTTATACAAGATTTATTGGAATATGGGGCATCATTTAGATAAATGTAGACCCTACATTTGATAATTGTGTGATTATGTAAAGGAATATTTGCCTTAGTAATTTAATGTGACATGCAGAGAAGTAAAGAGCATAATGTATGCTATGTATTCTCTTATAATTTTTGTTATGAGCCTAGCCCTTAATGACTGTGCCAACTCTCCAGCCTGATATGTATTCTCAAAAGGGTTAGAAGAAACAAAGTAACTAGACAGAAAGTGATAAAACCAATGCATGTTCAAAATTTATAAATGTGAGCAAATGGTATTCAGATGCTTCTTGTACTTAGATTTATTTTCCCTCAAGGACTTAAATTTTTACATTAAAAAAAATTTTTTTTCTAGCTACTCTTAAGGGTAGGCTGTATTCAGCCATGAGGAAATGAACTCAGTGGCATCCTTGGAAGTTCCTTGTCTCACAGCACCATGTCAGGGCACCCTCCCCTTTAAAACATTTAATCTTATTATTTTTTTACATTTCTCCTTATTTTATAATACAAACACTTATCTGTAGTGAGATAGTCCTTCTGTGGCGCTGACCACACCCACTGGGGGGTGGAGCCATGGGCGGAAGTGACCTGTGGAAGGAGGTAGGAGGAAGAGCCAGGAAAAGCTCTCTTGCTGGTGGGTCTCGGACAGGAGAGCATCCGGTGGAAATTGCTGGTGTTCATCTGTCTAGGCTGTAAGTTATTTCTCCCTGAATAAACATCTATTCGGCCTATTTGTTTATCCTGATCCTTATTTAACTGCAATACTTCTTTCTTTTTACACTACAGGTCCTTTGCATATGTGTTATGGGTTCCAGTCTAGTGTTTTTATGGGATTCCTGAGAGTGTGAATGAGTGTGGTCTCTGTTTCTTGTACCTTCTCTTGGGCTCTTTTCCTCCTGTTTGTTTTATAAAGTTCCAATGCAATAGCTTTTGTTTTACCTTATTACATTTTATTTTATTTTTTGAAAGATTGTTTCCTTAATTTTTTTCTATTATTTATTTTGTTTTAAAATTATCTAGAACAGTTGTTCTCAACTTGTGGGTCTTGACCATGGTGGCAAACCTCTATCTCCAAAACTATTTACATTATGATTCATAACAGTAGCAAAATTACAATTAATGAAGTAGCAATGAAAATAATTTTATGTTCCCTGTACTATTAGCTCACCACAACATGAGGAACTGTGTTAAAGAGTCACAGCATTAGGAAGGTGGAGAAACACTGATCTAGAACTCCACCAACTTTTTATTAGCTTGTTTGTTTATTTTGGTTTTTTGAGACAGGGTTTCTCTGTACCTCTGGAGACTGTCCTGGAACTTACTCTGTAGACCAGGCTGGCCTTGAACTCAGAAACATCCACCTACCTGGAACTAAAGGTGCTGGAACTAAAGGTGTGCGGCTTCACTTTTTGGCCTTGTTTATTCTGAGATAGAATCTTACTACATAACCCAGGCTGTCCTCCAGCTGCAGATTCTCCTTCCTCAGCTTTGCTTTAATTGGTTTTATTATTAGAGTCAGACTGATAAGGTGCTTTCATTGTTGTTTTTATTGTTATAATGTATTTTATACTGCAAATAAAAATAAAGCAAAAGAATTTACAAACAGCCAATTTTTTCTAATTCCAGTTCCAAGAACTTTTCTTTTTTTTGCTTTTTTTTGCTTCTAATGTATTTGTCAGATCCCAAAGAAATCCTGGACAAGCTTGCACAGCACCTGTGGCTCCTCCCACACTTCTCACCCTGCCCCTTACCCTAAACCTCTCTAGCCCCTGGGGT